GCTACCACAAAGAAATCTGAGAACAAATGTTTGTCAGGATGGGGTGGGGGAGGAACCTTTATTCACTACTGATTTACATAATAGCTGCTCTAGTTTGCACACCTATCAGATAGAGATGCTTACATAGAGATACTTGCATATCCATGTTTATTGGTGCTCTATCCATCATAGCAAGGAAAAGGAAACAATCTAGATGGCCATAAACAGATGAATGTATATACAATTGAATTTTATACCTCTGTAAAAAAATAAAAGTTTCAGCAAGTAGCTGGATTAGGTAAGTATAATAAGTTATATGTGACTCAAACTTAAAATTAAAACCTGTATTTTCTCTCATATTTTGTACCTAAACTATACTCTATATATGTAACATATAAATGTAATGTGTAAATATAGGTAAAACCTAACAACAACAATTAGAAAGTAGACCATGTGAGGCTAAAAATAGGTGATAAGAAGGATGAGGAAAAGAGACTAAGAGGAGGTTACAAGGATGGATTTGAGTGGCTAGAGGGAGAATCTACTAAAATACACTTGTGTTAAAAAATTCCACAATGATATGTAATATCTTGTATGCTAGTTTACAAAGTAAGAAATATTTAAATATATATTTTTATTGACATAAATTATGCTTATAATGATTTCAAAAAAATTTCAGCAGAGAAAAAGTATTGAAAAGGACCAGCTATGAGTTAGGTATAGTGGTATATGCCTGTAAACTCAGTTCTCAAAGGCCAAGATAGAAGGATTGCAGCAATTCTGTGGCCAGGCTGGGCTACATAGTGAGTTACAGGACATCTTAAGGCTATACACTGAGAGTATTTCTAAAACAATCCACCATGTCAAAGATAAAAAAATTAATTATGAATCCAGAATTGAAAAAAAAGCATAGTGTAATTTTCACCTGATTATTCTAAAAAGATTGTAGATTTCAGAAAAAGGAATAAAATTTCCTGAACATAGATGTAGAGAAATTATCCATTCTGAATAGCTGAGAGGATAAGAGATTTTTAAAAAGATAAGAAAATAAAAGAAAAAAGAAAGAAACTTAAAAAATAGGCCTGTGATGTTCTGTGTGAGATATAAGGTCTAATAAATGTGTACAAAGAATCCAAGGAGAGAGGACAGAGCCCTGGAAAAACAAAATTCTTGAAGAAAAGTAGGCGGCCAGATCTGATGTAAATCCAACTACTCTGGAGTTGAGACAGAAGGATCCAAAGTTTGGTATGGGTGGGAAAAAAAACCTTAAAGCTTTTGGTTTCTAAGAGAGTAAAAAATTTCCAATGGGGTGATAGTAAGAGATGCACAATAGCACAACACACAAAAAGTAAGTAAAAGAAAATGGAAACAACTCGTACCCGTTCCTGTGACCCTGAGAAGTGAACCCAGGATCTGTGCCCGTGAGCTCTACCTTCATTTGTTTTCTTTTTCCACTTTATTTCATCAACTCTTCTAAATTGTGCAATCTAGCTTTGACTAATTGAACCTACCCTTCCCAGCACCTAGAATTGTAGATTTGCACCATCGTGCCTGGCAAGGATTAACTTTTTATTCCTTTTTGGTTTTTACAGATAGAGTCACATAGCCGAAGCTGGCCTCAAACTCTTTGTGTAGCTGAGAATGACCCTGAACTCCTGATCTACCTCCCTCAACTTCCATGACCAGTGTCCACAGCCACTCCTGGGTTTGTGCTCAAACCTGGGGCTTCATGAAAGTCACATCTAAACATAATGCTAATAATAGAAATAAAGACTAAAAATTATCAGCTAAGGGGGCACATGCCTTATAATTCCAGCACTCGGAAGGCAGAGGCAAGCAGATTTCAGTGAGTTTAAGGCCAGCCTGTTCTACAAAGTGAGTTCCAGGACAGCTGACACCACACAGAGAAACCCTGTCTTTAAAAACAAAAACAAACAAACAAAAATCCCCCCAAAAACCTATCAGCTAAGATTAAACTTCACCATGATATGTGGGTAAATTTATTAGGAACATGTAAAATTCATGTTTTTCAACTAAATAAGAATCAAAATCGATTACAGAAAAGTAAGCCTCTTTACGCCTGTTTCTAAAGGACCGGAGGAAGGACCAATGAGCATGTCTATTACTTCTGGACATTTCAAGCTTTGCCATGTCAAGCCTTCACATTGGTGGATATGTTCCCTGTTAACACTGGCTCCGCCCCCGAGAGCTGTTGATCCAATCATTTGCCATAGAGTGGTCCAGAATTTTCTTCAAGATACAGAGGGGGTTTCTGGGAGAAACACGGGATTCTGGGAGTTCGTGGGCTGATTGCGAGCTTAACACGTCTCGTCGCCGCTCCGCTCCGCTCGTCCGCTCGGCTCCGCTGCCGAGGTGACTGGACATTAGCGCTTGGGATTCCTGAGGAGAGCAAAGTCAGGGAAAGCCAACAGTCAGGTAGGGACATTGGTTGGTCTAAACACTAGTTACCTCTGGCGCCCAGGCAGGGTGCTCCGGGGCTGCCAGGGTGGGGTATGACGAGGGTGTGTCGAGGGCCTTGTTGGACCCACCTGAACTAGGTCAGGCCTAGTCTAGTCCCTTGTGGCCCCAGGGTGGATGAGAAGAGGTTGCTTGGGTACAGGACACAGAAGGCTGTGGGGTGGTAGTCTGTCTGCAGACTCTGAGGGAGAGATCAGACGGGAGCCGGAGCCAGAGCCGTTGCGTGCAGACAATCACGCAGGGAGAGTGACGAGGTGCCGTGGTCTAGGCCTTAGGTGCTCAGTATGTCAGGCGGCATGGGACTGGGCCCTGGGCCCTGGTGTGTGTGTGTGTGTTCACGTGCGCGTGTGTGTGTGTGTTCACGTGCGCGTGCGTGTGTGTGCGCGCGCGTGTGTGTGTGGGTTCTCTGCTTGCCTGCCCGCATGTGAATGCCTAGCTATGGAAGGAAGGGTGTGGTATGATGGTGAAACGCCGAGCCCCTGAACAAATGGTGCTGACACAGCACAGACGCCTCACTGTGGAGTAGGCATGCGCGCTCATTTGGTCTTTGGCGGGAAAGCATCTGTTGGGTCTCTTTGAGGCAGGGAGGGCTGCCTTTGGCGCCCAACATGGCGGCCAACCTCAGCATAGAGGAAAGGGAGAAGGGAGGGGCCACAGTCCTGAAGGGAGATGGGGCAGTATTTTCCCCCTGGTGAGCCAATTCTCAGTGGTGGGGGATGTGTTAGGGTTTTGGAGCACCCTGATTCTGAGAGTGATAAGAGAATATCTTCATTTTGGTGAAGAAATGAATACCTGTTGGCTTGGGATGGGGCAAAAGTCTATGGCTTTTTGGAGGCCCAAGGAGACCAACAATATTTAAGCACTTGGGGGCACCCTGCCATCTATCCTAGAGAAGCTTACTGCTGACTGAGTGAGCTTGTGTGTTGCCATATGCCAGAACCTTGTGGTTGGCAGGTGGGCAGGGATGTGGGGGCAGATCAGAAGAAATGGTCACTGCTTGAGGGTGGAGGGCATACAGAAAACAAGGCTAAGTGGCTTCCTGGGATGAATGTGATGACCAGAGACCCTTAGCTGCTGTACTTGGACTAGTGGGTGAAGATGGAATGGTGCCTCTATGAGCTGGTGCTGTGCATTTGGGATCAGAAAGACTTGACAGTCCCACAGATCCCCTATGGGGGATGTAGCAGTGGTGTGAATTGCAGTGCTGTACATTGTACAATTTTCTAAATAGACCATACATGTGTTGAGTAACAATTTTTTTAAAAAAAATATCTTTACAGGTTACAAGCAGTAACGTGGGCTGGTACTCACAGATATTCAAGAGGCCGAGGCAAGAGAATCACTTGAAGCTAGGAATTCTATCCTGAGAAAATACCAAGCATTTAAAAGGATTGTATTTTAGTATGTAATCTTTTAAAACTATGGTGAAATTCTTTCTGAAATTAATACTGTGTATTTTTTGGTAGTGTTGACAACAGAACAGCTGGAAAACTGTTAATGGCTAAATATTTGGAATCCTGTGGGTCAAAAAAGTATGATTTGCCTTGTATGTTGGAGATAAATTTAATTACAAGGAAATATTTCAAATTCAATAGTGAAAAACCACAACTTGCCAAAATTAAGAGGACAAATAAAGAAGGGATCAGCAGAAAATTGTTTTAGACATTCTTTTTATTAGAAAAGAACACATACAGGCTAACAAGGTGACTGAGAAGGTAAAGGCTCCTGACAGCTTGAGTTTGATTACCCAGGCTGACCAGGTGGAAGTGTAGGAATTCCTGAAAGTTATTTTTTGATCTCTACAGGGCACTTGATAAGACACATGTACTCACAGACATACGGTAAATTTTAAAATGTAACAAAAAGTAAAGAACAAATGCCTAAGATAGTGATCTAGGGTCAATTTAAAGAAACTAGAGTCAGGACCAAGAGTAAATCTAATTTATGAAGTGTCAAATGAAGAAATGTTGTATATAAGTGAGGATATCAGCAATGTATACAAACAACACAGATGTTCCTTTAAAGAGTTGTAAAACTGGAACCGGGTGGTGGCAGTGCACACCTTTTATCCCAGCACTCAAGAGGCAGAGACAGATCTCTGAGTTCGAGGCCAGCCTGGTCTACAGAGCAAGTTCCAGGACAGCCAGGAGTATACAGAGAAACTCTGTTTTGAAAAATCAAAATAGAGTTGTAAAACTGATGAACACTACTGATCGAGATAAAAGAACAAAAACTAATATCAAGAATGAAAAGAAGACACTGTATCAGGCTATGCAGACATTTAAAAAGAGAATTGAATGTTAAGTGCAGATTTTCACCAAAGCTTGAAAACTTACAAATTGCAGGTTTCTTCAGGAGACAGAACATACTAGAACTGCCACTAGATAAAATATTGTAAATAAATTTAACTTGTCAAAAGATTTTCTTAAAACCAAACAAAATGGACCAAGTAGGACTGGCCCTACACTTTATGGGGAAGCTTGGTGGGACTTGGATTGCCTGCCATCAATATGCCTTTCTGTCTTTTCCACTCACAGGAGGAGAAGACTGCTTCAGTCAGCACACATCCCTGTCTGGTCATGTTTCCTTCTAAGTTCACTGCTATGGGACTGGCTATTCTTCAGGACTGGTGCAGGTGGATGGGTGCCAATGCCCAGCGCTCCCTGCTCATCCTGGGTATCCCCGATGACTGTGAGGAAGAAGAATTCCAGGAGGCTGTGCAGGCTGCCCTCAGGCCCCTGGGCAGGTACCGAGTGCTTGGCAAGGTCTTCAGAAAAGAGATCGGGGCAAAGGTCGCTTTGGTTGAATTCGCCGACAATTTAAACCAAAGTCTGATTCCCCAACAAATACCAAATGATAGGGGGCCCTGGACTGTGATCTTCCTGCCGCGGGTCCCTGATATCGAGTTACAGGATACATTCAGTTTCCCTTCACAGGCTCACGGGCAAGCTTTGGAAGGGTCTTCAGGTGGAGCAGGGGCTTCAGGTAGGTCAGGGGCTACAGTGGAGGAAGGAGATGTAGTTAGAGCTGTGGGTGAGGCAGGAGGAGCAGCTGAGGAAGGAGCCGAGGATGAGGCAAGAGTACCTGTTGAGGAAGGAGCAGAGGGTGAGGAAGGAGGAGCAGATGTGGCTCCTCCTGCCCCCTTCCTACTGGAGGAAGGAGATGCAGCCAAGGCAAGAGTGTCAGAAGAGGAAGAAACAGAGGGCGAGGAAGGAGAGGGTGAGGCAGGAGGAGCAGCCCAGGAAGAAGCTGCGGCTGAGGGGAGCTTGCCAGATGAGGAAGGAGCAGAGAATGGGGAAGGAGTTGTAGATGAGGGAGGGGTTGTGTATGAGGCAGGAGTAGTAGATGAAGCAAGATTGCCAGACCAGGGGGCTGTGGATGGGGAAGGTGATGTAGTTGAGGCAGGGGCTGCAAGAATGTCTGATGAGGAGGGAGCTGGAGGTGACATGGGGGTCGCAGGTGTTATAGGAGCTATGGCTTGGGCAGGGGCTGCAGGTGAGGTAGGAGCTGCAGGAGAAGGAGGAGGTTTAGAGGTGGGAGCAGGAGGTGATGAGGGGTCTGCAGGTGATGAGGGGTCTGCAGGTGATGAGGGGTCCGCAGGTGATGAGGGGTCCGCAGGTGATGAGGGGTCTGCAGATGATGAGGGGTTTGCAGGTGATGAGGGCTCTGGGAGCGATGAGGGGTCCGCAGGGGACGAAGGATCTGTGGATGATGGAGGGGCTGTGGGCGAAGCAGGAGCTGTAGGAGAGGATGAGGCAGGAGCCGTAGGTGAGGCAAGACTGTCAGATGAGGAGGGAGCTGCAGGCGACATGGGAGTTGCAGGCATTCTAGGAGCCGTGGGATTGGCAGGAGCTGCAGGTGAGGCAGGAGGCTCTGGTGAGGAAGGGCCCTTTGATGTGGCAGGAGGGGCACATGGGGCTGGAGCCTGGACCCAGCAGTGGGGCCAAGCCATGCAGCCCATCCTGGAAAACATGGCCTACCAGGAGCTGAGTCACTTCTCTGGGATGGAAGAGCCCGGCTGTGGGGGTCTGTCTTTTGAGAGCTGGCTGGACCACGCCAATGACATGCTATATGTGTGGCGCTACATATCCGAGACAGAACGGCGTCGGCGGCTGGTGGAGAGCTTGGGTGGCCCTGCCCTGGATTTCCTGTGTGAGCTTCTGGAAGAGAATCCAGACACCCCTGCGCAGGACTGCCTGGCTGCACTGGTGCAGGTGTTTGGCAACAAGGATACCGTGATGACCGCGCGGATGAAGTTCCTGACTTGCTCCCAAGGGCCTCAGGAGACACTCTTTGCCTATGTGATGCGCCTGGAAGGTCTGCTGCAGATGGCCCTGGAGAAGGGGGCCATTCAGCCTGCAATGGTGGATCAGGTGAGGGCACGGCAGGTGCTAATGCGGGCCCGGCCCAACCAGATGCTGCAGAACAACCTGAGGAGGATGCGACTGGAGAGGCGGCCACCTGGCTTTGTTGGGCTGCTCAGACTTGTTCGGGAGACTGAGGCGTGGGAGGCAGCTCTGGTAGAAAATGCAGTGGTCCAAGTAGGGGAAGGGGTGGAAGTGCATGGTGGAGAGCTGGATGTGGTCCAGGCTGCCCTTGTTGGTGTTGGGGGCGCTGAGCCTGCTCCTGCTGTTAGAGAGTCCCTTCCAGCCAGTGAAGCTGCTGACCAGGCTGCTGCTGCTGTTCCTGAGCAAGCTGCTGAGGCTGCTGCTGCTGTTGATGGTGTCACAAAGGCAGTCCTTGATTCTGACGAGGCCAAGGTCTTCCCTGTCACCGACAAAGATGAAAATGTGTTGGCCCCTGCTGACTCAGACCAGGCAGGGCCCACTGAGAGTCCAAGTGTGCCTGAGAGCTTGGCCAGTGCAGGAGAGCAAGAAGTAGGGCCTGTACCAGAGGGGCTGAAGGAAGAGTCAGAAAATGAGGGTGGGGCATGGGAAGGTAGTCACCCCAAATCCTTTGGCAAATAGGTTGAGAAGGTCCAAGGGCTTCCTCCTTCCTCAGACAGTTAAGTCTTAGAGGCAGGCAAGGTAAGCCCAAGGCCCGTGCATCACCCCCAAAGTACAGCAGGGCCCAGAAAAAGTTTTACCCAACCTTAAACCAACTCTCTCCCACAAATCCCCAAGGGGTTCTGGTTACCACCACCACCTCTCATTCAAGTTATCCAGGTGACCACATTTGCCACCAAGTGGACTCAGGAGAGGTTCCCTTTCCTGTTACAATGTTACCTGCAGATCTAGTCCTGACCTCTTCTGGCTTGACTTGCCTGAAACATATTGCTGAGGTCCCAGCAACAAAATTAAGGATATGGCCTGAGAATGTACCCGCTCTAGTCTGGAAGATGTGGGAAAGAGGCCATCCCAACACTTGAGTTATTTCATTCTCCCAGCGCAGGCAGCCCACCGCCTCCCATTTGCAGTGTCTAGGCAGGCAGGCTGCTTTCTGCCATGGGAAGTCCACTCTTACCTGTCTGCCTTATAGTGACCCAGCTCTCCAGAGCATTCACCTTCACACACTCTCCCTCATCCATTGGTTTTGTGCCAAGCCATGAGATAAGTTAAACTGGGCAAGTGGAAGTTCTGGCTACCCGGTCAGCCATTTCCATACAGACGAGTGCAGTGAGCTGCTGTGCTAGTCAGGCCTTTCCTGTTCTTTGTGAGCTACTTATCTGCTTTCTCAGTGTGAACCTAGGTCTGCCACTGGCTGATTGTCTTCCAGATATGTGCATTATTACCTGAGCAGGTCTTTTCCGGAGACCCCAAGTCTAGCATCATGAGCCAGCTGGAAGAACAGAAGACACCAAGGGATTGATTGATGCTTATCTTGTGACTGTCACTTGATTGATCTGCAAAAAGACATGGACCTGGGAGGGACTTGAAAACCATGTTTTGTTCCATTTAAGTTGTTATTCATGACCCCTATATCCTCTACTTGGTGGGAGTATTCTGTGTTTTGATTTCTGATGTATACTATAACTGACCTGTGTCAATAATAGGGCAGCCCCGCCGGGTCATCCTCCGAAGTAGATGAGTATCACCAGAGGCCATTGTCTTGATAAGATGCACAACTTGGATGTTTGAAAAGGTAGAAAATGGTGAGGGGCTCCAAGCTGCTTTCAGAGCCCCGGGAGGAGTAGTCTGGGAACTGTAGCTTCTGGTGACTATGATTTGTTTCTGACTAGTGTTTTGCATTTTTCAATGGTTTCATTAAATGTTTTTCTTTAATAAATTTTTTGGATGTTTCAGCTATGTCTAACCATTTCCTTGGACAGTTGGGGAAGGAATGGGTTTACAGGAGTATGAAATTTCAGCTTGGCACTCATGGGATATGTCATTACTGAGAGGGTAAGCAGTAAGCACTTCAATAAGCAGGTTAGGGATTGTGAGAGATGATTTGTAGTTCAGTTTCACTGGTCTAATTGGGGCTTTTGAAAATATTGTACCAACCTGACATGATGACCCATGATTAATCCCAGCACTTGTTAGACTTAGAATTGTAGTCTAACCATGTAGGGACTTTCAGGACAACCTAAGCTACAGCTACTTGCAAAACCCTATTGATTTTTATTTATGTGTATGTATTCATTCATACGCCATTTGTGCAGGTGCCTGTAGAGGCCAGAAGAGGATTTTGGATACTGTAGAAGGAGCGGCGGGCCACATTCCTGCCCGCCCGGCTAGCTTTACCAGAAATAATTACACGGAAACTGTATTCATTTAAACACTGCCTGGCCCATTATCTGTAGCCTCTTATTGGCTAACTCTTACATATTGATCTAACTCATTTCTAATAATCTGTGTAGCACCATGAGGTGGTGGCTTACCAGGAGGATTCTAACATACGGCTGTCTCGGAGAGGAGAGTCATGGCGACTGCCTCGTTGCCTTCTTCCCAGCATTCTGTTCTGTCTACACCACCCACCTATGTTCTGACCTATCAGGCCAAGCAGTATCTTTATTAATTAGCCAATAAAAGCAACAGAAATGCATAAGACTCTCCTACATCAGGATACCCTGAAGTTGGAGTTTCAAGTGGCTGTGAGCTGCCCAGTGTGGGTGCTGGGAACTGAGCTATGGTCCTTTGCAAGTGCTCAAAACTGCTAGGCTATCTCTTAAAACATACACAATGATTTTTCTTGATGCTGGTTTTCTTAGTTTAGGGCCAGTACCACGTGGAGAAGACAATACTAACCGTTATACCACTTTTCACGTTTTGTTAGTCTGCCAGCTGTGAGCCACACTGACCTGAGGCCTATGGTAGATTGAATACCTCTAGCCTCTGGCCTTCAGTCTTATTCACTGACAGTGCCAAATGCCTAGGCTAGCATAGGCTGTGGGGTTCTATGTAGCTCAGGGTGTAAAACAGAGTACCTTTCAACCCTGTGTCTTTCCTTACATCAATGTAGCCCCCAACTGTGAAGTGTGAGCATTATATTCAGCAATATGTCTATAGAACTGGCTGTGTAAAGGCCCTGAGCAATGAAAGAGAGGCTGTGTGGTGACCTGTAAATGTTTGTCATAGCATTTACTCTGTGGGCCACCAAGCCAGAATAGCCCACAGGGGAGAAAGTACAGGTCAGGGCCACCCCCATCTGAAGTTTCAGCCTGGATACCCTCAAATTGAGAGTTCATCCGTGGGGTGAGATGTACTGAGCCTATCATAATATACTTGAAGGGCCATGAATTGTACCTGTTGTTATCTGTTTTTGGAATGCTTGTTTCAGCCTTTGGAGAATGCATGGGCCAAAAAGACAGATCAATAAACAATAACCATCAGCCCAGTTAGGGAAGAGATGAGTATGGCAAGCCATGGGGACCAATTAAATCAGGTCTCATAGGGGGTCCTTGACTTAAATGAATCAATATCTTAACTCATCTAGGGTTCTTGTAACTATCCCAGAATGATCCACATAGAAGCAACATTCTTCTCCAAGTGCCCTGCAAATTTCATCCCTGTTCCATAAACAGCAAGTCCAAGCCTCTCCTATTTTGTAAGGTTACCTGTGCTAAGGAATCCAAAGACTTTTCTAAATAATGTAATGCAGTCTCTGTTTTTTCTAATTATGTCCAGCCCAGTCTGCTCACATCCCTATGAAGAACAATAGTAATCAGGAGGTCCCCCCCCCACCCGCCTCGTAGTTTCTAATAGCAGAGGCAGTCTAGTTGCTTCCTGGGCATACATAAAAGGGTGTCTGCAGGAGGGCATGTCTCCTAAGGACATTAAAACACCCAGGCTCATTAGGGTAAGATGCCTGAGGTAGGGTGCACCCCCGAGAACCTCTGCATTCAGGTCTCCCTTCGATCCCCAGAATCCAGTCTCCCACATCCCAGTTCCCACGCGCCAAATCACAGAGGTCAAACATCAGGTCAGACCACCACATCCAGGGTGTCGTCATCTGAGAAGTCTGTAGGTTTAGGATCCCTCCAGTGCCAGCGCTCAACAAGATCCACATCACCTTCTGTGGTTGGTGGGGGCTTGCTGCCTGGACCTTGGTCTCCGTGAGAAGAGTTAATATGATTACTACTGAGAGGGCCATCTGAAATAAACAGGCAACACTCTCCTCAAGGGTCAGTCTCCCTTGGGCAGTGGTTATTTTTCTTCTCTTGCGTTTGAATTTAAGGATTGTTCACCTTAATCTCTTTCTTTATTGGTCATCTTGGTCTTCCCCATTGTCCTGAGGGGGTGGGGAATTTTAAATTATGAGCAGGTAGTTATATAGGCATTTCCCCTCTGTTTGGGAAGACACATCCATATCCTCAGCCCTGTGTCAACAAGGGATCTGGCCAGTCCATTAGTTAGTGAGAGGATCTTTCCACCTAACCTTTAGGCAGGGCCTCATTGGTAGGGATCCCCAATGTTTCTGGAATCTATTTTGTTCATCTGATTTTTAAAAATTTAAAATATTGATGGTTAATAATACCTTTTGCAGTTGTAGATAAGGGGAGACTTCTCCCCCTTTTTGTTTTAGAAGGACCTCTTTGAGATATTGGTGATGTCTTTTGACAATTGCTTGACCCTGAAGCTTGTATGGGGTCGTGGTGGTATGGGATATATTCCATCTCTGGAAGAATTATTTTAAGGTTTTACTTATAAAATAGGGGCCGTTGTTGGTCTTGATCTGTTGTGGTAGTCCCAGTATAGCAAAACATTCTAAGAAGTGGCTTTTGGCATGGGTTGCCTTTTCTCCCAGAGTGGGTGGTAGCCCAGCATGCCTTAGAGTATGAATATATGGTCACAAACATATATTTTAATTTGCCAAATGGAGGGTAATGTCTGTTTGCCAGATGATATTGGGTCCTAACCCTCTTGGGTTCACCCCCAGCCCTTGTAAAGGGGGAGTGCAGAGAAACTGTTGGCAAGTCTTACATCTATGAACAATTCTCCTTAATTATATTGCAGGGATCTCGGGATATAGGTATTTGAGTCCTCTCCAGTTGACGTGAGTTAAGTCATGCATGTGGGTAGCATTTTGTATGGGCAGAGTTGAGACCTCTATGAGACAGGCCCCTGAAGCTGGAGCATTCACAGCAGCATTCCCTTGGGAAATGTGGACAGGAAGGTTTTCGTATTCTCTGAGATATTGAATATGTATGTTTTTTTCTACCTTATAAGAGTGATCTGAGTTGTATCATCAAGGCAGAAATAGGATTAGCATCCAATCTGATATAGGCATAGGGTAAGTGTGGCAGTAGGTTCACCACATAAGAGCTGTCTGAATAGAGGTTGCAGACCGTTTCCTTATATTGAGTGAATCCCCCACAAGGGAGAATTTTGGTAAACTTTGTCTTGACCCCTCCCACGGGAAAACTACAAAGGTGGCCCCATTCTTCCCACCATCTGTGCAAACAGTGAATGCTTGGGGCGGGGGCCTAGAAGAAAAGACTAAGGGCACTCTCTGTAATGGTAAAAGTAAAATGCTGTGGATCCCCGAGTGGCTGCAGTGGCAGAAACGCTGCAGGTCCCCAAGCAGTGACAGTGGACAGCTGGTCCCAAGAGTAGCCAGTCCCAGGTGGGGACAGCACAGTTCCCTGAGTGGCTGCAGTGGGCCACGAGCCACATGGTGGGTGAGAGACCTCGATGGGGCAGCCAGTCTCACAAGGAGAGACAGACAGATGGACATGCTACAAGACCACACCGCAGTTCTCTGAAGGTGGCTGGTCCTGGGCTGGGAGCCATGCGGCAGGCGAGAGACAGAGACATGGATTGGCACGCCATGCAGAGTGAGGTTGGATATTTATTTAGTGGGTTATGGAGGGGAAAGGGGAGAAAGGGGAGGAGAGCAGAGAGACAGAGACAGAGAGAGAGAAGGGAGAGGCAGAAGCTGCCTCTTTGAGAGGAAGATGGAAAAAAAGAGAGACTCAGGCTGCTAGCAGGAAGGAAGATCTGCCTGCCTCAGCGGATGGGAGAGGAAGTGGGCAGGGCTTGTCTCTTACAGGGACAGGACAGATCATTACACTCTCCAGTGTAGTTTTTAATATAGCTTCACTAACTGGGACTCTCCAAAGTGGGTGCCCAGGGTCCCCAGAAATCCCTCCAGGGCAAGGCTCAATTGAGAACAATGTCTGGCCACCCATTCTAAATCCTTAGTTTTGAGTAGACTTATTAATTTAGAGGGATCTTTTCCATAATGTCAGAGGTGTCCCTGATTTTTATGATCATATCAGCTATTTGACCGACTAGAGAGTACACTCTGGGAATGTCTCCCAGAATGGTGTGTATCCATTCTAGTGGTTGTGACTGCTGAACAATGGCAGCCAGCATGGTCTTTTTCCCTAATAATATCCAGCCTTAGATTGGAAAGTTAGGGTTATATCTCACCAAAGTAGCCTGAAAGAGTATGTTGATGAATTCAGTGAGTGCCTAATGGCCCTCAGGGGGCAAAGAAATGATTTCATAAGGTTGTGCCCCTTTTAAGAGAGCATATAACAACACATTTAGTCTCTCACTCTCTACAGGCAACCAGGGCCTTACCCAGTTCATTTCCCCCAGCATCTTTTATAACCCTGATAAAGTGAGAGGCTCAGGCAGGGTTGATTGGGGTTCATTCACTTTGGCTTGAGTGTTAATTTGGATCTCAATATATGGAATGGGGGTACCTTTTGTGTTTTGTAGGGACTATTTTAAAGCCGTGTTGTTGGAAGATATCAACAATAGAGGTTACCCAGGGAGCTAGCCCTGATTTCTCCAAATGCCCAATGATTAGATCATCTATATAAATATATAGTAAAGTATTATCTTTGTCAAA